TGGCGCTATATAAATAAAATTGAATTGAATTGAAAGATATAAATATAAACTGCACATTGAGTCTTGAGCATTGAGCATTATTGACAACTAGACACTTAAAGGTTCAGTGTGTAAGATTTAGTGATATCTAGTGGGGAAGTTACATGTTGCAGCTGAACACCCCTCACCTCACCCTCTCCTTCCAAACATGAAAGAGAACCTGTGGTAGACTTAGGTTGTCATAAAAACTCAAAAGGTGTTTAGTTTGTTCAGTCTGGACTAATGTAAAAAACATGGCAGCCTCCGCAGAGAGGGTCCCCTCGATGTAAACATAAAGTATTTAAATAGAAACGGCTCATTCTAGGGTAAAGAAAACTACAGTTCATACAATTTAGAAGAAACACACTAGTGAAAATATCACAAGGATTATTTTACATTCAATTTCAGCCAATAGATCCATTTCACCCAAATCTTACACACTGGACCTTTAACTCTTACTACTGTATAGAGGTCAGAAAATCCTTCATGTTTAATAATGCACTGTAGTATGTTTGTACAAGTCCCACTCCAGTAGCTTATTACACCCCCTAAATCTCTTCTTTGATCATCAAAATGAAATAATGTTGGACATCGGTTTGTCAAGAAAAAAAGGCCTAAAAATAGCTTAAATGCAACTCTATGCCTTCTTTCCTCATTGCATGACGAGGATCTATAAATATGCCAATTCAACCCCGCCCCTGGCTCCCATCCCCACCCACATGGATTGGTTACTTAAAGGGATAGTTTCCCCAGAAATGATAAATCACTGCTTATCTACTCACCACTATGCCGATGGAGGGGTGGTAGTCTCGGGGGTAAACAGTGTTAGAGCAGAATCCAATAAAACTGAAATCTTCAGACGTAATCAAACACTATATGCCTCCATACTGTTCGAGCGGTGTCATCCAAGTGTCTCGTGCCCCTTCATTCATATTGGAAATGAAACATCATCGTTAAGTCATTTATACCATGTTTTAAGCCCAAATGTCCGCTCATATCTTCCGACAAGGTGTGTTCAGGGACCATCGAACCTGCCAACGTCCACTAGCTTAGCAACTTCTTATGGACTTTTAGGCTTAAAACATGGTGTGAATGAGGCCTTTTCAAGTCGGATATGACTGTCGAGGCTTACGGAAACTTAGATGACACAACATGAGCAGTATGGAGGCATGTTTTGTTTTTTCTGTTTTATTATGTCTGAAGATTTGGTCAGTCGTATTAGATTTTGCTTTAACACTGTTTATACCTGAGACTCCCCAAGTGTTTTGTGAACTGAAACACTTCACCCACCCCTTCATCAACATAGTGGTGAGTAGATAATGAATGAATTTTCAGTTCTGAGTGAACTATCCCTTTAAGTTGCAGATCTCTGGAGTTTAGTTCATGCCCGAAGAACCCTGGAAGCTTGACCCTCAGAGAAGTTCAGCTTTCAGCAGGTCTCTGGTAACCCAGAGGGCATTAAGTCAGACTGACGGTGGATCTGTACCTGGTCTGTTTGTAGCAGCCATTATGAAGACCTGTCGTCGACTCTCTAAGCCGTCCATCTCTGTGAGCAGCTGGTTGACCACCCGCACACTGGCTCCTGACTGCACACACGCACACAGAGAGTATATCATAAGCGATACTTAATGGTAAATGGACTGTATTATTTGTATAGCTTAACTACCACTTTACAAAAGCTTTACACTACAGGCCACATTCATTCATCCATTCACACTCACATTCATTGCGCTATACATACAGTGATTCACTAACAGAGCACAGTTCGACATGCAAACAGGATGTTCTGCTGTGGAGAATAAAATAGTTTTTCATTGTACTGCTTAGTCAAATTTTGAAAACTTACTATGAATGAAACAATGAATGATTAAATAAATACAGATATAAAATGGAACAATGTCTTCTAACATGGCTGCCAACTCAGAAATTCAGTCAAAGTTTATCCTACTACTGACACTGTTACAAAAACTGATCATTTAACAGATGACATTCGTCATTTAGTATTAACACACATTTCTTTATAAACAAAAGATGTAAAGTAAGGGATATGATATATATGGGAAGAGATGGACTGAAGAGGTATATGACACAAATATGTAAAGAAATTGTACTGTACACTAAAATACTGTTAGTATGTACACACTGGTGATGCATGACGACCATTGATACAACCAAACACGTGTTTTTGTATAGAGATTGTTCTGTTAGGAAGTCCATCCCCCTCACCTCATGGCCTGAGCGACGAGGACACAGAGCATCAATCTCGTCAAAGAAGATGACACATGGAGCAGAGTTGCGTCCCCTCTGGAAGACCTGTCTGACAGCTCGTTCACTCTCTCCAACATACTGTATAAACACAGGGCCACGAGTTAGAGCAAATAACTGGTTCACAACAGCCACCTGTTATTCACAGAGTGCTCAAACAGGGCAGACTTGTTGTTTTTACAATATTTGGTGAAAGTGTGTGATGAGAACAATGAAAACAGGTTGTGGCGTTTGAAAAAAGGAACTGAATGGCAGGGAATAGAGAAACACCAGCTACTAGCACAATGATGTGACAAGAGCAGTACAATTCAATGCACAGACAGCCTCTTCTACATCATGTTCCTGCAGCTCACTGACTCACCATATTGAGCAGCTCTGGTCCCTTGACAGAGATGAAGTTGAGGCCTGACTCATTGGCCACTGCCTGTCGGGAGACAACACAGTGAGACAAAAGAGGAGCCACAGTGACAACTTCACTGTTATGAAAATCCTCGAGCTGCACACAGCCTAAAATCACAATATGTAATTTTTACATTATAAAGTATGATGACAAAAGTATGTCTATCTATCTATCTATTCTCAGCTCTCTTGTCCTATTAATCAAATTTTCAGAGCCACTACTCAAGTCTGATTGGGAGATGCTTGATAGATACAGGAGGCAGCTCTGTGAATTACAAAAAACAAACTCCAAAAGAACCAAAATACTAAATACATTTAGGAACCATTTTCAATCCTGTAAAAAGTTTAGTAAGTTGATCAGTCATATAAGACTAGATACTGTAAAATATTGTAGATGGCATTAGAACTGTTCAAAAAGCAGTGTCAACCTTGGCAAGCAGTGTTTTTCCACATCCTGGAGGTCCAGCCAGCAAAACTCCAGATGGAGCACTGAGACCCAGCGCTTTGAATTGTTCAGGAGAACGCACAGGCGCCTGCAGGACACACACATGGTGAATATCATCACAGTCAGTACAAACTAATGGTAAGTATCAAACAACATGTGCAGAAAACCTATTGGAACAATCAATTCAATTCAATTTTATTTGTATAGCGCCAAATCATAATATACATTATCCAACAGTTCGCACAATGAGCAAGCAGTCTATCGATGGATAGACTAACAATGTTTATCAACTAAAAACCTGTTACTGATTCTGAAACACAGAGGGCCCTCAAATTTGACCTGCAAGACTCAATGGTCCCAGCTCATGTGTGATAAAAAGCTGGTCATCTTTTTACACCTGACATTCAAATATGTCCTGAATGCATCTCCTGTGACCACTTGTGATTGAAACTCACTTCCCTGTTCTATATGTGAATAATCACTTACATCATGTGTTTGCAAAGACCAAATGTTGTTTTTACCCAGTCTGAGTTTACACACGAGTCACTGTGTTTGTGAGAGAGCAACACAAAGAGAGAGAGAGATGGTAGGGTCAGAAGGGGCTGAAAGAAACATTGTGCTTTAAAAATGTCTGCTCTGGATTAAGATTTAACCACTTCGACAATAAAAATATTAATCATTATGTGGTGGACACTGAGAAGTGTCAAAATATTTTTGGCTCATTATACAATTGTGGCGTGTCAGAGCACATCAATTGATAAGGAGATTTTTAATATGTGGCCCAGGAAGCATTTGCATTCACACAGCGAAAAGAATGTGGTCACATGCACATGTACTTAGAGCTATCCACTTGTGTGAACAGGGTCTAGGTGATGGATGTGATATGTGAAGAAGCCTGCTGTTTACCAGTATGGCCATCGTGAGCTCCTCTCTGATATCCTGCAGGGCCCCCACATTCTCCCAGGTGACGTCAGGCACAGTGGCGAAGCCCTCCCTCTTGGCTGAGGGCTGGATACTGGACAAGGAGGCCTGGAAGTCTGACATAAGGATGGACAGGCTGTCCAGCTCTTCCTCTGACAGTGTGTCAGTGGACTTTAGCAGGTGCAGGAGGTGACACAACTCCCCCTGCTGAACCAGCACACAATGCATCAGGACAATACATGGAAACAGAAAATAAAAAGGAAAGTCATTTAAAGGCCACTAAAATTTCAAAAACAGAACTGGTTATTGTTATCACAAGCTAACTGGCAGGTGCTAAGATAAT